CGTTATCTTAACAGATTGTAGATCTATTAGTAATAAGGACTGCATTTATTGAGTTTTTATTCTTGCACTGAATAGCATAGTGTCTCTATAGTAAGTGCTCAGGAAGCACTTGGGTAGGGCTAAATTATATTGGAGGGGAAAAACTCATGCAAAAGACTGAACTTAGGCTGAAGCAGAATTGCAAGCCTGGGCTAAATTGCAAGTTCAAAGCCAGCCTGGACTACATAGCAAGACCCAGTCTCAAAAGAAAAAGCAAAGGCTAGATTTTGCATTTCTAGGGACTCAGGGACCATCCTGGGGTCTGAATTCCATATGTGTAAAGGTGGCTCTGGATATCTGCACTGTATAGCACTTGCAGCTTTCAACTAAGTGCTTAGATTCAACACAGTCATACCTGGTTTCTGTTTGCAGACCCCTAGAGCGGTGTCTCCATAAGCTACATAAGAATCCTTTGTTTGTTTATCAACTCTGTATTGTTTTTACTTTGCTTATGAAAAAGCAAAGGCATAGAGAACCTGGATATGTAGTACCCATCTGTAATCCCAGTATTCTGAGGATCAAAGTTTGAGCCCAACATGGGCGACTTCACAACTTGGCAAGACCCTGTGTCAAAATGAAATTTAAGCGGACGGGGGAGGTGTGGGGTGTGTTGGGAATAAAGTTGTTCTAAGGCCCTGTGTTCAGTCTGCAGTAGTAGGGGAGGAAAAGACCTAGAGAGCTTTCTGGTTTATTAATAGTTAGACAAAAAAGGATCAATGAAGGAAGCACAGAGAGAAAAAACTGTTAAGAATATGGTGACATACTGCCACATATAATGACATGACATAAAGCTGTGACTATGTGATTATGTCCAAGTACCCTTCTCTTAATAGTGCTCTGAAGTGTTTGTCACCCAAGAATTCTTAATTCATGCATGCAGCAGCAGCTATTTACTGAGTACCCGAGATGTGTCAGGCATCAGGATAGGTGTAGCAACAATGCAGGGAGTGAGACAGAGGCAGGCTTCCCGGAGCGCAGTGAGGTGACAGCAGCAGGAACAACTGCCACACTTGTGGTCCCACTTCCTCAGTCTCCGAGCAGCAGTGCAACCTGTATATGCCTCGTTTCCCTCTTGCTAAAATAGCAGGTTAGACTCTGGCTTTTTAAAAGACAGGTTCCTTCAAAATTCGGGGTCAGTTATTTGGCAGAAACCCAAGCTCTCTGAAAGGCAGGCTGGGAGCTGGCATCTCTCAGTCGGTCTGTGCAGCTCCCTCGCACTCGTCTCCGCCCTTCCCACCTGCTTTTCCTGAGCAGAGGAAAGAGAAAGTGGGGCCCTGCTCTGCCGGGATTGTAATGGAGCGGATTTCTGAGCATGTGCATATGTCCAGACTTAAGTTATGTTGCAGTGTTCAGAGATATTTCAAAATTCTAGGATTCTTTGATGGTTTTGATTAATCAGAAACTTTTAAACCTAGTACAGAATCTTGCTATGTCGCCCAGGTTGGCCTTGAACTCAAGGCGGTCCTCTTGCCTCAGTCTCCTGAGGGTTGGGATTACAAGTGAGTGTCACCACTCCCAGCTCTAAACTAGTGCATCTTACTTGTTGTTTTCCTAATCACATCCACAGATAAATACTTGTTTGTGAGGTTATGTTTTTCTTTTTCTGTGCTTTTCTGCACTCTTTATTTTTCCATAAGGAACATGTATTATTTGTGTTTTTTGTTTTGTTTTGTTTAGTTTGGTTTTTTAAAATAGGGTCTCACTATAGTTCATGCTGGCCTTGAACTCACAGCCGTCTTCCTACCTCAGCCTCCCAAGTGCTAGGATCACAGGCCTGTGCCGCCCTGCCCAGCCATGTATTATTTTTGTAATCAGAAAACAAACAAACAAACTATGTAAGGAAGCATAGCCTCTCTCTACTGGGGATCAAATCCAGAGCCTTGTGCATTTATCATTTGTGTATGAGAGCGTCTGTGTAACTGGCTTCCTCACCTCTGGGTCCCCCTCTCTCTTGCTTCTAGGCACCCTCATTGCCTCTTCCTGACCTGCCCGCCCTGCAGCCTTCACAGCTTGGCTTCTGCCTGGTTTCCATCTCCTTGCTGCCCTTCACGCCACAGGCTTTCTCATGGGTTCTGGAGTGTGGTATTGGGTCTTTCCGTTCCCTGGGCAGAAGTTCTTTAGAATCACCTGGGCGCCCTGACTCCAGCAGACCTGGAAATCTGCCCCTCTCCCCACCTTCCAGGCTGCGGGCCTTTCGCAGCAGATTCTCAGCTGCCCTCCTACCCCACCCCGTCTATGCTCCCCCAGGCAGCCAGGTGGGGTCATTCTGCTGCAAATCGGGAGCACTCCCTGCTCACTCAGTCCACGCCAGAGTCCTCACAGGAGCCCAAGGGCCTAGTGCCGCTTCCCTTTCCTGCCCTTCCACCTCATCGCCTCTCCCGGGTTTCACTCGGACGATGGCTTTGTTACCATACTATGTCGTGTATGTCCTGCCCCCATGTCTGCCATTCCCTCTCTGGGATGCTTTTCCCTCAGTTCTCTGCTCAGGTGTCACTTTATCAGGGAGACCGTTCGTATCGCCTTATCTAAAGCAGTGTGCTACTCCAGTCCCACCATCCTCCCTGAAGAAACGGGTGCTGGCTCGCAGACCATCGCCTCTCGCTGGCCCAGAAGCTGCCTGGGCGCAGACCCTGTCTCCTCCTGTGTATCCCACCACCTTCACACAGCTGCGCTCTGTGTCTTTTGAGCTCTTGTTCTGTCCATTTCCTCTCCAGCCTGAGGTTTCACCTTCCTTCTTTGTTGGATAATGTCTTATTGTCAGCAAGCATGTTCAATTTTTTTCTCTACCTTCCCTCAACTCTAAATCTTTTTGTGTGTGTCTTTTTGAGACAGGGTCTCAGTATGCAGTTCAGGCTGCCTTTACACACACTTTGTAGCCCAGACTGGCCTCGAACTTGCAGCAGTTCACCTGCCTCAGCCTCCTGAGTGCTGGGATCACAGGCGTGCGCCACCACACCCAGCCTCAACTCTAAATCTTATAATTACCAAGGCACTCCTTTCTCTCATTCCTTTCCAGTTTCTTAAGAGTAGTGTACATTAAACCCCTCTCTCATCGGGTTTCTCCCTTGGTCCTCGTCATAAGACATTCGTTTCCAGTGTGCCACGCAAGATTGCTGTAACAGAGGCTCCTTTCTGTGGGGAATTTGAAGGCATCATCTTACTTTTCCCGAGGCTGGGCTGTACTAATTATTCCTTTCCCCTTCTTGTGATTCTCCTTTCAGCCTCTCTAAAGTCTTCCTTTCCTGTTTCTTCTTCCTAAAGTGGCGCTGCTGGTTCCTTCCCCGCCCTTTACAGAGATCAGTGTCCCCTCAGACTCTGTCACACTGAACCCTCTCTCTGTGATGGCCTCGGTCCCCATGCTCTTAACTGCAGTTTTTTGCAGTGTTGGCCCTGCCCGCGTCTGTATGGTTTGCCTGGACTTTTCTCTTGCTCTCCAACTTGTATTTCTGTCCCTCCCTGACATGTCTGACCGGATATCCCATGCCATATTCGCAGGAGCAAACAGTATTAACCCTCTCTCCAAACAATACGCCACATTCAACAGTTGCTGCTCCCAGCTGTCCGCCTGGAGGCGTGGCCCACCTGGCCATCGGCGGTCATGGAGGATGGTTTAAGGGCTGTTCTCAGCCTGTTCCTCTCCTCAGCCTCTCTCACAGGTCTTACAGCTCTCACGTAGCCCATGTCCTGGTCTCAGTGCTTGCTGTCCCTGCTGTGGTTTAGGACGCTGCCATTTTCCTGTTACAATGTGACCCGGAAGAGCATGGCCTCTGAAACCAGACAACATGCATTCTAATTTGTAGATTGTATTTTAAATTTTTAATTAGTTTACTACATCTTTTGGTGCTGACGATTGAACCCAAGGCCTTGTGTGTGCTAAGCATGTGCTGTACCACTGAGCTATACTGCTGGCCTCTGAGAAAATGTCAGAGAGAGAGGCAGAGACAAACACAAGCAGAGAGACAGAGAGAATGTGTGCGGTGCTGGGGACTGAGCCCAGGCCCTCATGCGTGCTAAACGCGTACTCAGCTACTGAGCAGCGGTCTCAGCCCTACAGTCTAATTTTGGATCTGTCACTGAGTTGGCCGAGATGTGTAACTTCTCTGTGCCTTAGTTTCCTCATTGGTGAAGTAGAGGTGATAATTCGCTGTGAGGATTAAATGAGTCAACAGACAGCAAGTGCTCGGCACAGTGGCCAGCACGTCTTGCTCAGTGTCATCTCTCCCCGTAAACACTGCCCAGCTGACCTCTGCTGCCGCTCCCTTCCCCTTCTCCGGCACTTCCGCTGTGCCCTGCATGTCAGCTCTCGGAAGTGGGCAGCAGATGCACTGTGCGCTGCGGAAACACTCCCCGTGGCTCCTTGAGGTCTGAGCACTGCTTGTATATCTGGCTGATTTCCATCCGCCCCTTCTCTCCTGTGTTGTAGCCAGACTCAGTAATTAGCAGTCTCCACCCAGGCTGTGATTTTGCTTGCTGTGGCATCTTTGCCGTTTCTTCTGTGGCTTGAAATGCCCTTCCTTCCCTGGGTTTGTCTGCAAATCTTTAATGATCCTTCAAGACCCATGTTTAAACCTTCTGTGGAAACCTGGCCCTATGATGTATAGCTGATCATCCCTTAACACTCATTGTAATGTACAAGTATTACAACTATTCATTTATGCTTGTCTTTTTTTTTGTTTTGTTACTTGTCATTTTGAGATAGGGTCACACTGTGTAGTCCAAGCCTTGAACTCATGATCCTCCTGCCTCAGCCTCCAGGGCTTGGATTACAGGTGTGTGCTCTTGTGCCCAGGTTCACTCCTGCCTTCTTGACAAGACAGGACTCCATGCTGGTGGGCTGCAGCCTCTGTTCCTGTTGCAGGGCTTTGTAATATTTGGACAGAGCAGGGGCTTCAAGCACATTGTTGTATTAGTGTCCAGACCATTCAGAAATTACTAAAGTTTCTGTACTTCATTTCTTCCAGGCTGCAGGAATTGGTGGATCGAGTGCTGGAACGCTTTCAGGCATCTGGACTAATAGTGAAAGAATGGAATAGTGTGAAACTGCACGCTACAGTCATGAACACACTATTCAGGAAAGACCCCAATGGTGAGTACTCACAGATCTGCAGCACAGTGTATGAGCAAGGGTTTAGAGGGTTAGCAGCGGTTTAAATAGAATGGCCATCAAAGACCCTCTCATATATCTTCACTTTGATCTGTTCACGCTTTGTTTTTTGGTAATAGGAATTAAACCCAGCGTCTTGAGCTACATCTGAGCTACATCTCCAGTGGCCCCCACTTAACTGTCAAACTGCATATATCCTCTTTTTCTTAGCAGGGAACCTGTTTTTATAATGTGAAACTTACATAGGATTGGGGTCTTGTGTTAGGAGAATACTTCTCATTAGAGAAATAGTTCCAAGTTACCCATGTGTATAGCTAAAATTGTATTACGTTCATGGAATTGTTAGAACTCTGGGTGGGTTTCTGACCTGGTACGCTCCAACCTGTGCGACTAAAAGAACATACTCCAAGATGGAAAGTGTGGACGCATGTGGTACACACCTATAATCCCAGCTGCTTGGGAGGCTGAAACAGGAAGGCCACAAGTTTGAGGCTAGCCTGGGAAAGTACCAATATCCTGTCTTAAAATAAAAAGGTCTGGGTATATAGCTAAGTCCTCCATGGGTGGTTCAACCTCTAATACCACAGGAAGAAAAAAAGAAAGAGAGAAAAAAAGAAAGGGAGAGATCGAAAAGGAGAGAAAGAAAGGAATTTGAATATTTTTGAAGGTCTCTTGGTAGACCAGAAAGGGTTGATATAGAAAATATCTTGCAAGTTAAGTAATTTTTGGTACTTTGAATTTTCTGTTCCCTGTACTCTTCTCTGTATTGGATTTTTACTTGAAAAGGACATGAAATGATGTGTTACTTTTTCTTTTTCTGTTTCCCTCTCCTTTGATGTGCCTCTTCTTGCTGCCCTTGAAGGACATCCTTTGGGACATGCAACCTAAATTAACTCAGAAGCTGGAGCTTTCTTTAGGCCAAGGTCACAGATTTGCTGCATTTCAGTATAGAATATCTGTAAGGATATTTTTGTTTGCAACAAAAAGACTCTTTTTCATCTGAGGAGAGCCCTTAAATCACCCCAAAGCATGGGGACCAGCAGTTTTTACTAACTAATATGTGAACTTTTGTGTATTTTTACAAATTTAAGAATGCATGCAGGACTGGCAGTGTAGCTTGGTGATGGAGAGCTTGCTTAGTAAGTGCAAGGCCTTGGATTCAATCCCCAGCACTGTAAAAAAGACATTAAAATTTTTTTAAATTGCAGGCAGCTTGTCTTGGGTTTATAGCTAGTGAGGAACCTTTGGAGATCAGTTAGTCTCAACCTCTAACTTTGTAAATGAAGAACTAAAGTCCAAGGAGGACATATAATTTGTGCAAGATATCTAGTTACATAGTTAATAAGTACTTTGCATGAGTGCGTGGCAGTACTGAATGAACGAGTCTATATCGGATGAGCTGGCGGCAGAGCTGCACTAGAAGCCGGGGCTCTTGATTAACAGCCTGCTGTTTCTGCCTTCATGTAGTGGCACTTTCCAGTAGCACATGAAACTCTTGCTAGTTGTACGTGTGTACTTACAGAAATCCAAGGCAATATAAACAGATACATAACCCAAGCTTCTCTTCGTAATGTTTACAGCTGAAGGCAGGTACAATCTCTACACACCGGATGGCAAATATATCTTCAAGGAAAGAGAATCATTTGATGGCCGAAACATTTTAAAGGTCAGTATGAAGGAGAGAAAATTGGAAATCCTTTGGTATGTGCCCTAAATAAGAGAGGAAAACAAGTTGTTTTCCTTTTAACAGTAGAGTATATTTTTCTTATCCTTTTTATGAGGATCATTGATGGAAAGAGCTGTTTTAAACATTTCTTTTATGTTCTTGAAAAAATAGAAATCCTCTTGACTTTGTTAGGCTTTGACACCTCTGGAGGGTTGAAATTGGTGATTTGAGGACAAGTACAGCATCCTAGCTACTGGAGTGCATAGGGACAAGTTGTATTTAACACGGCAAGTTTTACTTTGTACTTACGTCCAGAGGTTTGAATTTGCATCTTTTTAGGTGAAAAATAACTGTTTTTCTAGTAGATTTTTCTCTTCACCCACAATATGGCTTTCCCAAGTTGCTCTGCAATCTATTTTTACTCAGAGGTAGTGTGTGTCCTAAAAAGTAGGTGGTCCATTTTTGACTGTTGAGGTATTGCTTTTTTGAGTTGCATTAATCTCTGAAATTTAAATAGAAGAGGCTTGCAGGACTGCATTTATCTCTCTCCCACAGACTGCATTGTGTAATGTCCATGATTTATGCCCTCTCTGTCAGGTTAACATGCCACTGTTCCCCGGGGCAAAGAGAAACACAGCTAATACTAAGAGAGAGGGTTTGATTTTTCATTTCACTTGTTCTGTAACGGTTTAGGTCAGACATTTTCAAGGCCATAGGTGTTTCAGGGATGGAGACAGAGTAATGTCAGAATAAGCTACAGCTTTAGAAACGCTTTTGCCCTCACTAGCCCCTCCTCCATTCCCTTATCTTGTCCCTTAACAGTTTTCTTGCCCAATGCCACCTGTGACCCCATTGCCTGTCATTAGCGACATCGCTCTTCAGCCGTGAGCTTCTTCCCTGGACCAAGAGGCCATTCCCCTAGGCCTTCCAGCACCTACCTTGCGAGCTGTGTTGATTCCTTGAGTCTGTGATACTTTTTGAGAAGCTTTGGGTTTGAGTGGCAGGCTGCTAAGGGTTCAGTTGTGGTTGACTTCACCGCTGTTCCCAGGCCACGGTATGCCACGGTGTGCCACAGTCTTGCCTCCTCTCTCTCCCTCCTGTGGGAGTTTTCAAGGACATCGTAGATTACTTTGCTTTTTGTTGTTTTAAGAAAGAAATCAGCTGAATAGGGAAAGACATCTTTAGGAATGGCTGAAGGCCAACTTGCATGCAATTCAAGTGAAAGTGGAAGAGTGTGTGCACGCGGTCAGGCGTGCGAGGCTTTGACACCTGTGAGAGCCCGTGCAGCGTGCCTGTATACACAGGGTGGAGATCTCACTTGATTCTGCATTTCTGTCTCTCTGTCAGGGCAGTTTTCCATGTGAAAATGCTTTTCCTTGCAATCTCTACTCTACTCCAGCCTTGACATGAATGTAGCTCCCTCTAGTGTTGACAAATACTCTGCTCTCCCCCTCCTACCCTCACTAATTTGTGGCTGTGTCCATTCTGGTTCTGGACCCAGGGAGGTACTCGGAGGTCTTTAGACCAGTTCCCCTCTTCAGTCTCTAGTGTGAGATCCAAGTGGTAAAAATGACTTGCCAAAGGTCCTGCTGGATAGTGGCAGAGTCCAGAATCGGATCGAAAAGGCTCGAAACTTACACATTTAGCATGTTTCTTCTGCTCCCATTAGCATGCTGGGTTTGGGTAGAGATGGCGATCATTAGATAGCAGAGATGGGTATGTCTGAGCGGGGATAATGTCTGGTTAAAACTCATTTCACAGATGTTGGGCGCTGTGGGTGGGCCAGTTAGTCTAAAACTATGGCTAATTAAAAATCAGACATTTGGGGCTGGGGATGTAGCTCAGTGTGCACAAGGCGCTGAGTTCTGTCCCCAGCACAAAAAAAGATAAAAAGAAAAAGAAAAGAAAAATTACACTGTTATATTGAATATGGTTCTAACACTAACAGAAATGCCTATGTATTTACTGTATATCATCCTCCAATGTGCCGTAAGGATCAAACAGTCATTCTGATACAGTCCCTACCTTCCATGATCTTCCTGTCTTTGAGGAGTACAGATGATTACTACATAATATCGATGGTGCCAAGTTATGGGAGAGAAGAGCCTCTGAACACAGGTCATTATGACAAAGTGTCTTACAGTACAGTTCCTAATATTTTACTCCTGAATCAGTAGTTGCAGGAAATAAAGTCCTTTATCCGTGTTCCAGCAAGGAAATTACATGATAGGCTCCAACACTTAGCCCCCTCCCCAATGCACACAGTGATGACTATATTTGCAGAGTAGCTGTAGTTAAACCCACCTTTTACAGTTACCATGAGTGGACATGTCTTTCTCAATTTGAACATAAGAATATGTGGCCCCTGAGGCCCTTGACACGAAAATAGGATTTAGAAAACCAGTGAATTTTATATGTATAGTTTTTGTACCAGATGAAATTATTATCTTAAGGAAGAAAAAAAATCGATTTCGCTAACAAGATAGGAACTGAGTTGGAGTGAACAGAAAGGTGAACTGCATTGGTCGTTAAGGAGCCCAGGCATGTGTGTGCAGCATATTAACAGCTGCGCAGGCCAGGGATCAGGAATGCTGGGGATGGGAGGGAGTCCTGGAAAAAAAATCAACTGCATCGACTATTCAGAAAGAAACAAAGTGAGAAAGCAAGTCATTGCTCATTGCTGTAAGAATTTAATGAGTAACAGCCAATTGCTATTCTGCTCCACGAAGAGAATCGGTCCTTTTGGCTCAGCATAATATTGTGTTCTGGGTGCCTTAATAAGAAAAAAAAAATCTCTAATGACTTTTGGAGATGGAAGCCACATTTTTCTTTTGTACAGCTCTTTTGAGAGTTGTTGCAGCTGTAATAGACTAGTGTCTGGTTAGTCCTAGTTAAAAGAAGAATTTTCTTTCTCAAGGAAAGGCTTTGAAAAAATTGACAACTGAAAAATCATCCTCCTGTGTTATTCAAACCAGAAAAGGAGCAAACATATTCCATTGGGGGGGGGGCTTTATGGCAGACTGACAGTTCTAAAGGAGGACGTTTTAGTGAAGATGACCTAGGCCAAATTAATAGCATGATGTCTCCTCCGAGAGTCTCCATTACTAAGAGACAGCAGCAGAGATGCTGTTTGTATAGCCATAGGCAGTGATCAGCGCGTAATTGGAGAGATCACGCTGGCCTAGAGACGCACTGCTGGGAAATAACTGCTCCCTCACGAGCTGGAAGTGGAATGGTCATTAGCTGCCGGCTTCTGGAGACGGGAGTAGCACAGTCTGCTCGGGAGGCTTAGGCAATGGCCTTAAGCAGTCAAGTGGTTCTCCGAGTTTCTGCTCCAGTCTGGCTGGACAGGGTTACAGTGGCACCCTCACAGCGTAGCTTCCGCCTGCAGAGTGAGGAGGAGCCGCTTAACGCCGGCCCTGTACCCACAGAGAAGGTGCTATGGCACAGACCAAGGCATAGCCAGACAGGAGTGGAAAGTACTGCAGGTCCAAATCCAGAGGACACCATGAAAGTACCATTTCCTTCAATGCTTTAAAAAATCATGGAAGGTACGAGGGAAATGGATTTGTGCCTTTCTATTTTATACATAAAAATCTTCATATTTAGAGAGAGATTGGCAGTGTTAAACAAACTATATTAATTTTGATGCTTCTAAAATGTTTTAAGTCTGTCTCACATTGTGACTTGTCTGGGAAGATGTGAATGAGTCACTCATACATTTCATTCATTTTCTTTGGTCCCATCTCTGTTCCTTGGACCCCTTTAAAGGACACTTAGAACTGCTAAATTTAAGTGAGATCTTTAGTTTGCTATACTTAGAGCAGTTTTTGTAAAGGAAGCTTTTAAAAAAACTATACAATAGGTTTTTTTTGCTATATATGTGCATAGAACATATATGTACTGTTTAACAAATTATCATAATACAGTTACTACCAAGACCAGAAAGTAAAATAAATCCCCCAATGTCTCTTCCTGTCCAACTCTTTTAGTTTATACTAAGCATCATAATTAATTTTTGGGGGGGAGGTTAACTGGAGATTGAATCCAGTGAGTGCTGAGCTACATTTCAGCCCCTTTTTTTTGTTTTCTTTTTTTGAGACAGAGTCTTACTGTGTAATTCAGACTGGCCTGGACTCACTATATAGACCAGGCTGGCCTCGAACTCACACCAATCCTCCTGCCTCAGCCCCCCAAGTGCTGTGATTACTGGTGTGCACCACCATGCCCCGCTAATTTTGAGAAAGGTCCTTGTTAAAGTGCACAGACTAGCCTCTAACTTGTTATCTTCCTGCCTTAGTCTGCTGAGTAACTGGGATCATAGGCATGTGCCATAATGCCCAACCTTGATAGTTCTTAAACACTGTTCAAAACCGCTGTTTGGTTTTGAACAATTAGAGTGTTGAAAGGATGAGTTTATTTTAATTGTTTCTAGGAGAAGAGGAGGAGGATGAGAAAACTATGTAATCACTTATTAAAGAAATTTAATGGGACTGGGGATTTAGCTCAGTGGCACAGCACCTGCCTGGCAAGCGCGAGGTCGTGAGTTCGATTCCCAGTACCAGAAAAACTAAAAAAAAAAAGAGAAATTTAATAAACTTTCTTAGAGCAGTTTTAGGTTTACAGCAAAATTAAGCAGGAAGCATAGCATCCCTGAACATTCCATTCCTGCACAGGCATGCCTTTCCCCCGTGTCGACATTGGCCACCATGGAGGTACACCTTTAACAGCTGATGAGCCCACATCAACACGCATTGTCACCCCAGGTCTGTGGTTGGGTTAGGGTTCCCTCTTGTTGTTGTACGTCCTGTGAGTTTGGACCAGTGCATAATGACATGTGTTCGTCACTCTAGGGACAGACAGGGTAGTTTCATTGCCCTGAAAATTTTTGCTCTGCCTTGCTCATCCCTCCCTTCCCTCTTGCCCCGGGCAAGCACTGATCTTTTTGCAGTCTCCATAGTTTTGCCATTTCTAGAATGTCACATGGTTGGAGTAATACA